TGCTACTCTTCGGCCAAAAGACATAACTTTTGATAGATTTTTTATTAAATATCAAAATGGCCATTGTCATCGTGTTGTAATGGGCATACATAAAATTTCAAAAGTGCCAAAAGATGTTGCATCATTTTTAAGGTTGCCAAATCCACATGAATATACGGGGCATTGCCTTAGAAGAACCTCGGCAACTATCTTAGTTGATAATGGTGGAGACATTACAACCCTAAAGCGACATGGTGGATGGAAATCTACCAGCGTCGCTGAAGGATACATTGAAGATTCTGTAAACAATAAGAAACAGATAGCGATGAAAATATTAAACCCATTAGAGTATAATGAACCAAGTACATCAAGCGAAACTGTAAATATTGATCCTGAAAATAATTTAATCGAAGACTTTTCTGTTAATAATGGTACAATTGTTAACACTGAAACTGAGAACCTTATTACAAGTAACGTATTCAACGACAGAACTGTAAACTTTGAAAAAAAGACAGCCAGCAGCGCTTTAAATATCAACAACTGTACCATACAAAATTGCACATTTAATATTCATGTTAATAAATAAAGTTTGATGATAGACATGTAGGTAATTTAGATGTTTATTCGTTTAATTCAAATTAAAGAAAAATAATTGTTACATTTGTTTTTTTATTCATGAATAAAGTGGTTAAAACTGTCATGTTTAATTAATCAATAAAATGTATAAAATGTATAAAATAAATAGTATTACCTACCTACTGATTTTATTTTGTGCTGAGATTGAACATCGCGTTATCCGCTATAAATTTTCAAAATTAGTAATTTTTTATATTCACGCTTGAAGAAAAAATAGTATATGTCACTCGGAGTGGAAGGCTCATTATGTGTTTTGTCCAATTTGCTCAGCCTCGGCTAACGCCTCGGCGAGTAAACTTTTGGGCACAACACAATGATCGCCTTCTACTCCTAGTAACATAATATACTATTTGTCTATTAGTATAACGTGACTGCCCACGTTGACTGTACAGTCTTAGATACCAATCAATACCTAGACATGATATTATTTTGTCCAGTGCGAGGTTACTTTATTGTTTCAAACTTGGCTGGACCCGCTGCACCAGCCTGGCTGGATCAGCCTAAGTGAAATACGGCCTTTAGAGGCATGGCTGGTTTTGCGATAAATTCACTTAAAATGTACCCTATACAGGGTGTGCCATTTAACACTCCCGCTGCCAATATCTCCGAAATTAAGAAATTTATTTTAGTTCCGGATCATGGGGTTCTTAGATCCCTCGAATAGCTTCAAATTACAGTTAGAACTGTTAGTTCAAATCTTTCTGTATAGATGGCGTGACGATACTAAAAATTTTTTGATCCCTGGAACGTGGAAATGCAGTCAATCTGAAAGATCGTTAAATTATCAGTTTTTTTATAAAAATTTTCCCTATATTTACTTGTTTTCGAGATTTGTTGACTTCAATATGCAATGTATGATGTAGCAGGAAAATCTATTATTTTATTTAAATCACACTGAAACAAAATATTCTTTTAAAATACTTTTTTAACGACTTTATTCACACCACATACTAATTAAAATCAATAAATTATAAAAAAACAAATGATCAATTACAGAAAAAGTAATAGAAAGTATTTAAAATAATAATGGAGATGTCCAAAATTACGTCCCTCAGCATTAATACACAATGTTAGTCTTCTCGTTAGTTCGACATTACAGGCTCTTAATAAAATGTCACGATCTAAAGCCGCTGTAACTGCATACATTTTATTATAAAAAGTATGGTGAACGAGTCGGCCACTTTATAACTCCGTTAGTACCTAACCACCTTCCCGGAAACCTCTGATTTAAGTATTCTTGTACAGCATTAGTATTGAGGGGGGACGCTCCATCCTGTTGGAGCCAGAAATCATTTACCATATGTTATCCAATAAATTTTTTGGTTTGTTTCTCAGAAAATGTAAATAACTGTTACCTGTTAATGTTCCGTGGTAAAGATATGGTCCAATTAAATAGTCATTCAAAATGCCGCACCAAAGATTTACAGAAAAAACAGATTCATTTCGGGTTTGGTGCATTATTCTTGGATTATAGTCAGGCAATTGTGGCGTATTACCGTACCATTATAGTGAAATCTACTTTCATCACTCCATAAGATACTAAGTAAATTATTGTTTCTTCATAGATCACTGTTAATAATTGAGCTATAAAATCTAATCCCCGTTGCTCATCACCATCACTTAAATGTTGGATGATGTGATTTTTATAGGGGAAATAGCGATTGTTTTTCAAAATCAGCGTTCAAAACATATAGGATTTTACGTTGCAGTACTCCTTTGCTTGAAGCAGCTTGCGTAGGTACATAAAATGGTAAAATATTTTTTGCAATTTTTTAATACGTAAAAAAATTTTTAATTATTATTTACAATAGTTTTAAATGACACATAATTAGTTTGTTTATGGTATGTTTGAAATACTGAAATTGATATTATCAAAACACTAGATTAACGAGTAAATTATAGTTATAAAAGCTTGGGTCGTAATCTGCTAAACCAAAATGGTTTACACATAAAGAATTGAGCAAGAAAGTGTTTGTTAACTTAGGGTGGAGACCCACTTTAAACTTGTTTTATAGTAATTTTTTATAACAGACATCAGACAAACATTATTACCTCTTCGCCCATCTATTTCAAATAAAAAAAAATATGTCTGATCAAATTATAATGGGTGATTCACAACTTATCCAAAAAAAAATTGGTAATAGATGCGTCATACGTATAGTTTCCGAGAAAAAATTATTGAAGTTGTAGTATTTACAACTCTTACATTGCTGGACTATTGTAGTCCCTAGCGTCATTCTCGTTGTGCATTGTACGCCATGCCCTCTCTCTCCACGTGGCCCCAGGCGATTGCGAATACTGAAATCCGATTATATTAACGTTTTTGCGATAGTGTTTACATTAGTTTTTCAAGTGTTGAAAATGGCAACAATTTTTAGTTTTACTTGAAAATAACTGTAAAACAACAAATTTTTACACCCCCCAAGTGTCTACCAAAAAATTGGTCCCGACAACTTTCTTGTAATAATATTTTGAATGCTCTCGACGTTTACAAACAAAGGTATCCAAAAGTATAAGAATTCAACGGAATTAATGTTATAAATATTAATTAGATGATACATAACTTTTTATGGGTTTCGTAAAAACAAGTACCTTTTCACATATTCATTTACTTTTATGGAACTTCATGTATTTTTTAATTATTAGTTCTTGTTATTTTTCAAGCGACTTCAACGTATAACCTGGTGTCTATTAAAAAATTATATATAAGACCCACCCAACAATATTCGTTATACACAAACAGAGCTGCACTTTTCTTGAAATTTTCCGTGTATGTATGAAATGTATGACAATAAGGACAAATATCAACTATCAACTTTTTCTTTCAATTAGTATTAGTGAGAAAATAAATAGCAAATTATTAATATATTATCCTATAAAAACCAATTCTTTGAGTATCGTTTAAGGAAGAACTTGGCAAACCAGTTGTTGTGTTCTTGTATGTCTCCTTTAATAGATTTAAAAGTTTTCTCGTGTCCCATAGGTATATTGATGCTATACAATGATACACTTTTCTTGTACAAATATCATTTATTATGTTATGTAACACCCTGTGCCCAGAATATATTTCCATTGCCAACTTTAAAAGCCATTCCTTCTCGTACATATATCCAAATTTGTATGCATATGTAATAAGTATAAACTATTATGAAAATAAAAATATATAGTGCTTCTTCATATATTTTTTTAACAATTAATTTACAGTTTTTGTCTGATTGTTGTACTCATAGTAACACAATTTCTAAACGATATAAAAACATTAAGAAGGCAATGCAATATGCAAGCCAAAATTATGTACCCTGCAATATGTAAACTTTCTAATACTCTTGACATTGTGGAAAGCAACTAATCTATATTAAATTACATCCCCAATATAGCTAAGAATATTATGGTATGCAGTCTAATCCAAATATATGCAGGTAAGACGCTATTCCTTATGCCTTCTATAAATGTATGAAACACAAGTATTGACGGAAAAAAAATCGCACTGAATTTATTTTTCTATTAGTCAAAAGGTGTATGTACCTATAAATCTATTAATTAATTTTTCTTCGGTCATTTCCTTGAAGAAGATCTTTTCAAGTCATGCTAAGAAATAAAAGATTCTTTAATATTATCATCTAATTTTTATTTCAGTTATGCATTACACAAAATGTAGAACTGGAATGCAACTTTTTAAAAATATCTGCACAACTTGTAGAACGCGGTTTTTATATCACATTCGTTAAGGCTTAGCTAAATCAATTGACGGTCGTTTGGCAAAAGATTAAAAGACCATGATGACGTCAAATATTTGAGACTGCGTTTTTCTTACTGTACGTGTAGATATTTTACTTATGATCGGCACATACTTATGTCGTAGGTTAGAATCTATAGACAATGGTAAACTCGACATTCAAAAAGACTTCTGAAGTTGTTAATCAGAAAATATGCCTCCTCAGAAAACATTACTTTCTGTTAAGAATTACTTTTCAAAAATGCTTCGGATCTGATTTACACTAAATCTGCTAAATTGATGTTTTGACTATATATATTTTTAAATTAATATTTTCTTTTAAATATATACGGTATGGACTAAATACCTATAACAACCAACGTAATAAGAATATATCATTCATATTAATTATATGTTTTGCATGTTATTATCTTGTATGATATTTTACTTTCCATTAAACGAAATTTTGTTTATACAATTTTTACTTCAATTAATTAATTTTTTATTTTTGCTTTTTTTCATATTTTGAAATGTTCCCAAGAATTTTTAATCACTTAAAGACTTCTATAATGTAAAGATATAATGTTTTATACTTTCAAACATTTATAAAATTTTATAATTGATGGATTATTTTTTAATTAAAACTATATTTTGTTTTTTTAGTTTTATTTGAAAGTAACTACAAAATAACATATCTAAACATTTATTTGTTTATTCCTCACAAGTGTCTACTAAGCAATGGGTCTCGACAACTTTTTTATAGTAAGACACAGAAGTTTTGGGCGTCCGAGTCCTATTAATGTTGTCAAAATCTACATAGAAGAGCCCGAATCTTTGCCTAAAAAGAGAAAATTAGTTATATTGCATAAACATATTTATATATGTATATTGCTTATTTCAGAAATTAAGTAGAATTTTAATCTTAATCAGTTGTTTTATATAATAAGTGGTATTTTGTCTTGTAAATTTGACATAAACACTGAGAAATGTAAAATTTTAAATAAATGAAGCAACAGTGAATTATAAACACTAAGGTTTTGAGTGCACTGACAAAAATATTCGAAATTTTGTTAATTTAAGGCGTTTTTAACTACAAATTATGTCTGTAATATTGACAAATTGTAAACACTATATGGTTTTGAAGTATTTGTACTTGTTATGTTTCAAGCAACTTACGTGTAACCCTGTAACCATTCGAAGTTATCCATAAGACTCCATGCAGTGTAGCCAATTACATTCACTCCATCTTCCATAGCACTCCTTACATTGCTGAGATAATCCTACAATTAATTGATCAGTGTCGATAAAATACATTTAACGCGATTATATGAAATATGCTAAATTGTATCCAATCAAACAAAGAAATAATTTATTGAATACGCATTAGAG